TCTCTCAAATAAATAAATAAAATCCTTTTAAAAAAGAAATTTAAAAAGATAAATAATAAAATTATTAAAAATTATTTTAAGAATAAAAGAGTAAAAAATGTTTTCCCCATCCTAGCCCTGGAATCAGCCTTTTTTCCAAGTAGTCATGGTTTCTTTCGGTGAAGACCAAGATCTGGGCACCAAGTATGCTCACTGTTAATGTGTCATTGCTTCTAGGTAGAGGACGGAGGAGCTAGAGCATGCACACACTCACACACAGACACACACACAAACTTGCATGACACATTGCCACGTACAGACATATGTACACACACACGAACACACACACATGATTACATACGGATATCTCCAACCCAGTTCTCTTCTGACACCACAGGGTACATTCTAGTCATCCTTTCCCCGTTCCATAGTCACAACTTCTTCCTCCAATGGCGAGAAACCTGGACTGAATTCGTCTTTCTCATTGATGACAACTGATTCCTACAGATTATCAGGAAGAAGGGAAGCGTTGACAGTGACTTTAGACCTTTGCCCTCAGACTTAACAGCAGAAATGGGCTTCGGAGGAGAATCAGCAGCAGCTTTAAGCCTGTCACTGTTTACTGAGTATCTGTCCCAGCTTGCTTTTCCTTCTAGAACAGTGGTTCCCAAGTGTGCAGACAGCATGCCTCCTGTGAACACTTTCCTGTTTGCTGTGTCACCTTCACTGTCACTGACGTGAATACACCCGCAAGGACACAGCGTTTGGCTGGAGTGGGAGGGTTGGGCTGAGAGGGGTACTATGTGCTGTGAATCTGAGCCAGGGGAGTGAGTCACGCTACCACAGAGAAGGCTGCAGAGTCACATAAAATGTGTAAGAACCCTGAGTTCTCATGTACTCAGCACACTGTCCCCCACACACAGCCACCAGCTCCAAAGGACCGCCTCATGAGTCACACGTTAGCACGGCTGCCTTCTGTGGTAGCCATGATTCTTATAACTCTGGCTGACACAGTCGCCACGTAAATCCTCCTGAGTGACAGGTCACAAGTGTTTTAACTCAAAGTGTGCCACAAACGCTGAAAGTTGAAAACCACCATTCTAAATGGAGGAGAGTATTTTCAAGACTTAGGAGAGGTAGAAGAATTTGCTGATGAAAATCCCAAATCTGGAAACAACACAGAAAACAGCAGAGACTGGGAGGAAAAAAAAAAGGTGAGCGAGAGAGAAGATAAATAGATTCAGAACATTATTTGAAATTAAAATGGAGCTCGAGCACTACCTGGTGAATAAAAATGTTTTGGAAAGGATTTGGGCAAACAGGACACAATCCAAAGACCAGGCAGATGGGAGAGAGAGAGGCCGGGATGGTGAAGGGCATAAGTCTCAGCAGATAGATTTCTTCTGTCTTCTACTGACTTTGTTTCTAGAAATAGTAAGAAAATAATGCTTTCAGAAAACTGGTAAGTGAGAATGAAGATTATCTTATGACCTCACTGAAGAGGAAATGTTCGCGTCCGCTCTCAAGGCCACATGAGTGAGGAGAGAGCACTGACCATTAGAACAGCACAGTGGTATACTGTATTGTGCAAAATGTAAGATTCTATGCCAATGGGATTTGAAAAGAAAAGTCAGTGATTGGATTAAAAACAAAAATCAAACAATCCATTTCCCTTTCTTGAGACCAGGAAGACGAAAGTAAGGCCTGGGCTTTCCTCACCCATGGGGCTGTCATAGCTCAGTGGGCTCGGGTGGGAGACATGCTGGGACCTCCGCCAGGAGAGCCCACAGGGAGGCCTTCCTGAAGGAGGAGGGGAGAGTCTGACCGCTGACCCGCCGGTGGGCTGGTCTATCTGTAGGCTGCCAGGCCCTTCCAGGAGATTGTTCTGACCACATTCTGAATTTGCAGGGGGATCCCTCTGATCTAGTGTCTGAGGAGGCCCACCTGGCCAGGGGGACGTTGCATTAGGAGTCCAGGGGGTGAGTATGTGTCCTGGCCAATTCCAGTAGCTGTTCCTTGACATCCAAACCTAAGCCAGCGGCTGGGCCCCGTGACAATCCAGGACTGCTCTCTGGAGGAAAGATGGGCAAGACCTGGGCGGTCAGGGCCCTAGTCCCAAAAGCCAGGGTTTCTAGGCAGAGACAGGCCAACCCACAGGGAGCCGGTAAGAAGGAAGGAGAAAGCTGCCATTTGGGGGCCCATGGCCAGTCAAAGCGGACCCCAGATCCTGCCTAACCCAAAGGCGGCTCAGCTTGCTGGAAAGCACTCACAGGGACTATTTGAGTAAATCAGACAAGAGTGGCTCACTTGTGGAAGAAAGAAGGAAACCAGCCCCACTTAGAACACCCAGCTTAAGATCAGAAACATTACATTTGCCAGGACGGGTGGGGATTCATGTTCTGGAAGCCAGAATCCTCACTGTGACGTGTGGAGCTGCCGAAGATGGTCACGTTTTCCAGTATCCATCCCCCTGAGACCTAGCACCAAGGTCAAATCCGGGTAGTGACTGAGCTCACCTCAACCACTTGGGGTCCGGACAGTTTACAGCACACACAGGTAGCTCAGTCGTCAGACGTTCAGACTAGAACTCTCTGCTGCTGGTACATTCCAAAACCCAGACATGAGGATAGAGAACTTCACCAGGTGTCAAGTCCCCAAGCCATGAGACCAGCTTATCCTGCAGATCTACTGAGCACCTGTCTGTAGAAACGCCACCAAAATGAGATGAATGTGCACGAGCAGGCATGTCCCAGGAAGTTGCCTGCAGCCAGAGAGTTTCATAGTGAGGAAAGTCGTGGGGTCTAAATTTGCTCAAATCTTTCAGATTCTAATTATAAAAAGAGGGACATTTTTAACACAGCTGTCCAAGTTAGAGAAAACTCAAATCGTTCTAGCTCTGGCTCTTACCTTCCGTTGGTGACATTCGCCTGAGAAAAGGTATCACTTGGCATGCCCTTTGTCATGCCCACAGTTTGCTGGGAGTGACTGGGGTGGGGGGCGGGCTGTCTCCCAAAGGGGTGTCCAGAATCCTCCCAGATGACCTTGCCTTCAAGGTCTTCTCGCCTTCGGTTTTTCCCCAAGCTGCCTTCACTTGCTCAGAGAAAGACAAAAATTCCTAATTCCAGAATCTCCTGTGTTTCTCACATTCATGTAGCAGGCAACGTGGTATGGCCAAGGCACTGAACAACCGCACTCGGCAGGATTTTTCCCTCTCCTGTGCTGGCTCACCCAAGATTTCGGAGTTCCTGTGGTGGGGTCCTTTAAAATCTCCCATCCTGGGGTGCCTGGGTGGCTCAGTGGGTTAAGGCCTCTCCCTTCAGCGCAGGTCATGATCTCAGGGTCCTGGGATCGAGCCCCGCATCGGGCTCTCTGCTCAGCGGGGAGCCTGCTTCCTCCTCTCTCTCTTGCCTGCCTCTCTGCCTACTTGTGATCTCCATCTGTCAAATAAATAAATAAAATCTTTTAAAAAAAAAACTCCCATCCCCTGCCTTTCTATTATGCAGTATTTCGTATATTTAAAACAGTGTATAACATACAGGCACAACTAATATTCTGCCGGCTTCCTCCGTGTGGCCTTTCATCTGGGGCCAGTGGTCATCCCCCCCATACCCCGTCCCAATTATCACCGGCAACTGTTCTGACCGGTCAGCATCTGCTTGTTAAATATGAGAGAGAGCACAAGCAGGGAAGGGAGGGGAGACAGAGAGGGAGAAGCAGGCTTCCTGCTGAGCAGAGAGCACAATGCGGGGCTCAATCCCAGGACCCTGGGATCATGACCTGAGCCAAAGGCAGACGTTAACCAACTGAGCCACCCAGGCGCCCTTCGAAAGCATTTTTAACAGGTAAAACATTTGCACCATGAAAAATTCAGAAAGTATGAAAAGGCATTCAGTAACAAGTTTTTCGCAGTGTATTCCTAGCTGCCTCATCTCCTGTGTTAATGGTCTCTTGAGTCCTTCCAGAGGTGTTATGTATAGAAAAACACTGTGTACAAGAACCATTTCTTCTTTCTTCACTGAGTGTACCATGTAAAACATAGGGTTCTGTCCCTTTTCTTCCTAACTTAACCGTGCATCTTGGAGATCTTTCCACTCCGGTGCACAGAGAGGTTTCTTCCTCTGTAAAGAGCCGGTGGTACTTCTTCATGGGGTAGCTGTATTGTAATTTACTGAATTAATCTCCACTGACCACATACAAGGTAATTTACAGGTTCTGGCTATTACGATTGTACTGGTTATTACTTTGTACATACTCACTCCATAAATACACCAGTGTATCTGTAAGGTAAATTCCTAGAAATGAAATTGCTGGGGCAAAGGGCACATTCAAAATAAGCATCATTGTCTGAACAACTCTTTCTTGGACACCTTCGCTTGCCAGCTATTGTACAAGGCTCAGAGAATCCAGTGTTGGGTGAGACAGATGTGGTCCCCACCCTCCACCACTCAAAGTGCCAATGATCGGACACAGCCACCGCAGCATCTCATTGTCTTCATACGCAACCACGAGAGTGGCTGACTGCGCAGGGAGAGAGCACAGAGCTATGGGACCTGGATGACTGGGTGGGGAGGGGAGGCGGGTAAGGCTTTCCTGAGCAAGTCATGTTCACGTTAGGGAGGATAACAGGAGATGGGCTGGGGAGAGCAGTGGGCATGGTGAGCGGCACAGGTGGCGGGGAGGGGGGCACTGAAGACCAGAGTGACCAGGGGAAGAGTAGCTGGGGGGCGGGGGCAGGTCCAGCAGAGCCTTGAAGACTTCTTGAGGAGTTTAGCTTTTATTCTAAGAGCAGCAGGCAACCAGGAAGGAGTGAGTCATCCAGTGCACATTTCTGAAGATGACCGGCTGTATTAAGGAAGTAAATCAAAGGCTTTGGGGAGAACAGGCAGGGGAGACCAATTCAAAGGTTATTGCTGCTTTCAGGCAAGAGAGCGCAGAAGCCGGGTTGGGTGGCTCCAAAGAGATAGAGATGGTGAGAGACTGATGGAGAGGGGAGGGAAGGGAAGGGAGAGGGATTTCCATGGATGGCTGCACAGTCCCTAGCCGTGCTGGATGGTGAGCACTTAAGATAAGGCTCCTGGAAGGCTTCTAAATGATGAGAGCCCCTACTGAACATTTTCCACATGCTTAGAATCTGGGGTGTATCCTAAGGGGCACCTCACAAAGCCAGACCCTGGCTACAAAAGGCACCCAGTGCCGCCCAGGTTGCCCTGGAGAACGCCTTCTGAACGAGCTGAGATGTGCTCATCCCCCGTCTTATCTGCACCCTTGCAGGCGTCACATGCCCTCCTCCCACGTCGGTCGAACATGCAGACATCCGGGTCAAGAGTTACAGCCTGAAATCCCGGGAGCGGTACACGTGTAACTCTGGCTTCAAGCGTAAAGCAGGAACATCCAGCCTGACGCAATGCGTGTTCAACAAGACCACGAACATTGCCCACTGGACAATTCCCAATCTCAAGTGCATCAGTAAGTAGCTATCCCTGCAAGTCTCTCCATGCCCCTTCCCAAAGCCACACAGAGCCCAACTGTAGTGTGGGAAGCCCAGTGAGCCCATCTCTGGGGGACAAGATATTTGTGTTAAGGTCTGAAACTAAACAGACCTCTAAACGACTCAAAATGTTGTGTAGCCTCTAAACAACATCCCTGGGAGCTGGACGTACGTAGGCTTTAGGGTCACACCATTTTGGCTTCCTTGAGCAAGGGTCTTACCATCTTGGATGTCTTTGTCCCTCATCTAGAAAATGAACCCAACATGAACACTGTGTAAAGTGAAACCTGGTCAATATTAAGTCCAGCCATCCCTCATTTTGTTGCATTTTGCTTTACTGTACTTTACAGATAATTGTGTTTTTTATGAATTGAAGGTTGGTGGCAATCCTGCCTCATGCGAGTCTACATACGCCATTTTCCCAATAGTATTTGCTCACTTCCCAATAGTATTTGCTCACTTTGTGTCTCTGTGTCACATTTTAGTAATTCTCACAGCATTCAAAACTTTCTCATATTTGTTGTGGAAGCTGGGATCAGTGACCTTTGATGTTACTGCTGTCATTCCCTTGGGGTACCACAAACCACACCCACATAAGACGGTTAACTGAATCGATGGATATTGTATATGTATCCTGACTGCTCCATGGCCGTCCCCTGTCTCTCTCTCTCTCTCTCTCCCCCCTCGGACCTCCCTATCCCCTGAGACAGAACAATATTGAAATTAGGCTAATTCATAGCCTTACGATGGCTTCTAAAGGTTTGTGTGAAAGGAAGAATCACATCTTCCTCTTCAAATCAAAACTAGGAATGAATAGGTTAGAGAAAAAAGCATGTCAAGTCAAGATAGGCCAAAAAATGGGCCTCTTGTGCCAAGTTATGACTGCAAAGGAAAAGTCCTTGAAGAAAATTGAAGCTGCTACTCTAGAGAAAATACAAAAGGTAAGTAAGCAAAACAGACTTGCTGGTGATATGGAGAAAGTTTGAGTGGTCGGATGGAAGATCAAACCAGCCTTGACACTCCCACAGGCCAATGCCTCATCCAGAGCAAGGCCCTCTCCTCAGTACCATGAAGGCTGAGAGAGGTGGGGGAGATGCAGAAGAAACTCTTGAAGCTCATGGAGGTTGGCTCATGCACTTCAAGGAAAGAAGCCATCTCCATAACGTGAGTGCAAAGTGAAACAGTCAGTTGTCCAGAAGATCTGGCTAAGGTAATTAGTGAAAGTTGCTACACTAAACAACAGACCCTCAACGTAGACAAAACAGCCTTAGTGTGGAAGAAGAGCCCATCTAGGACTTTCCCAGATGGAGAAGAGAAGTCAGTGTCTGGCTTCAAAGCTTCAAAGGACAAGCTGACTGTCTTGTTAGGGGCTAATGCTGCTGATGACTTTAAGCTGAAGCCAGGGCTCACTGACCATTCAGAAAATCCCAGGAACCTTAAGAATGATGTCAAATCTACTCTGCCTGTGCCCTATAAAGGGAACAACAAAGCCTGGATGACGGCACATCTGTTTACAACATGGATTACTGAATATTTCAAGTCCACTGTTGAGAACCACTGCTCAGAAAAAAGGGTTCCTTTCAAAATATGGCTGCTCATTGACAATGAACCCGGTCACCCAAGAACTCTGATGGAGATGAAAACGAAATTAATATTGTTCTCACGCCCGCTAAAAAAATATCGCTTCTGCAGTCCCTGGATCAAGGAGTCATTCCAACTTTCAAGTCTTCGTATTTAAGAAATACATCCCATAAGGCTATGGTTGCCAGAGAGAGTGATTCTTCTGATGGATCTGGGCAAAGTAAATTAAGAACCTTCTGGAAAGGAGTCACCATTCCAGATGCCATTAAGAGCATTCATGATTCATGGGAAGAGGTCAAAATACACACCTTCACAGGAGTTTTGGAGAAGTTGATTCCAGCCCTCATGGGTGACCTTGAGGGGCTCAAGATTTCAGTGGAGCAAGTCACTGCAGAGGAGGCGGAAACAGCCAGAGACCCAGAATTAGAAGTGGAGCCTGAGGATGGGACTGAACTGCTGTGATCTCATGATCAAACTCAAGCAGATGAGGAGTTGCTTCTTATGGACAAGCAAAGAAAGTGGGTTCTTGAGATGGAATCTACTCCTGGTTAAGTTAACAACAAAGGATTTAGGATATTACATGAACTCAGTTGATAAAGCAGAGACAGGGTTTGAGAGGACGGACTCCAGTTCTGAAAGAAGTCCTACTATGGGTAAAATGCTATCAAACAGCACCACCTGCTACACAGAAATCATTTGTGAAAGGGTCAGTCACTGCAACAAACTTCATCAGTGTCTTATTTTAAGGAATTGTCACAGCCACCCCCAGCTTCAGCAGCCACTCCCCTCATCAGTCAGCAGTCATCAATATCGAGGCAAGATCCTCCACCAGCAAAGATTATGATTCACTGAAAGCTCAAATGATGGTTTGCGTTTTTTAGCACTATTTTTTAAATTAAGGTATATATATAGATTTATTTAGACACTAGGCTATTGCCCACTTCATAGACTACAGTATGGTGCAAACATAACTTTACTATGCACTTAGAAATAAAAATATTCATTTGACTTGCTTTATTGCCACGTTTACTTTATTGTGGTGGTCTAGAACTGAACGCACAATATCTCTGAAGTATGCCTTTAAGATTATGGTAGCAAGAATTTGGCTACAAAGGGTGTGTGCTCACAGCATGCTTGCTTCCCAGAGAACTTCCCAGTTTCTCCCTAGAAGACTTTACGGAAATTATTAGTGTTCTTTGTTGTTATCTACCCAGGGGAATGGGGGCTACCTAACTTGGTCACCCATGTCTGGTGTCCAGCCAGCACTCCAGAGCCCACGTGAGGGATGGTTTTCAGAATCTATTTTTTCTTTGAACCAGCCACAACTGGATGACTATGTCAGAAGCCAGCAATCTTGGAGTGGAAGTCAATAGTTATTTCTAGGAATACTAAGCCCCTTAGTCTAGTAAAATAAAGATTAACTCATGGTTTATTGCATATTTGGTTCGTGTCCAACTGCAAGCTAGATACTTTCTCATGTATGTGAAAATTCTCAACTCCTCACTGGGGAAGTGGACAAAAGGGGTTGTTCTAGAGCAAACTCACTCTGCTGTAAGATTCCTTGAAGAGCCAGACTTTCTCATTGATTTTGTGCACCTGTCTCCCGCACCTGGATGACATCATGCAGACATCAGAGGCAGGGCAAGGAAGAAGCCTTCTGTTTGTTGCAAAGGAATCGCTCAGCTGGGGGACACAGAGCCACATGACATCAAGTGGGATTGAAGTGACGAGCTAGCCGGGTGAGGACAGATATGAGCAATAACACTCTGGCAAAGACACACAGTGGACATCTTATTCTGTCCAGTCTGGACACCCACTGGTACCCGTAATCCAGGGGCAAAAATAAGGACTTTCCAGCAGCGGCAAAGTGACTGTTTCTTCAAAGTCCCAATTCCTTTGGGTGAACGATTCCAAAATAAAGAAGAGTTGGAGGCTCTGAATAAGTTGGGTTGAGGGGGGGGAAGCAAAGGGGAGAGACCTTGGATCTTTTAGAACTTTTAGAACTTTGAGACTTTTAGAACCTAAAGACTAGAGATCTTTAGGTTTTGTGTAGCCCAAAGATTCCTCACCTTCTACCATTTATAACTCCCTTTATTACTTTTCCTAACCTCCTGTGCTTGGAATGCGTTTTTGGTTTTTTTCCCCCTTACGAAACAACGGAATGTACTGAGTAATCATTTATTTTCCCATGTAAAAGACAGTATTCTATAACTGAGTTAATCTCATTGATATTATTCTAACTGAAAATAACAAGACATTAGATATGTGTGCAGTCTTTTCGAAAGGCTAGAAAAAGTTTGCTGTCTGTTTGCATTTGCATGGGAATTACAGATTGGGAAACACTGTTTCTTCTTATGCTTCTGACCTATCCTGGGAAGCCAGATAGCTCTATTTTAAATTTATATATTTTCTTTTTATTTACATGTGGTTGTGAGGCACTCCAGGTTCCACCCCCAGGCTCATGAGTGCCATGTGGTTATCCTCTCTCTAGGAGACCCCTCTCTGACTCACCTAAGGCCATCCTCCACAGAAGTGCCGGCAGGGGTGACCCCAGAGCCAGAGAGCACCTCCCTTTCTGGAAAAGGTAGGGATGTTGGAAACTTTTTAAGGACTCCCATTCCCTGCGACCACACGGGTCCCTCTGAGTCCCTCAGATGCTTGGACCACTGCTGGAGTTCCATGGCCAACTTAAGCAACAGAACCCACTTTTTATTAACATCAACATTAAATTTTACGTTAGCTTAATTTTTTCTTTTAAATCAAAGTTGCTTGATAGCTAGGTTTCAGTTGCACACAATTAATGATGACTCAAAATCCACTCCAAATATGCCGGATCAGCCTCAGATGCACTTCCTCATCAACACTGGGGAGGATTTGCAGATTTGCTTGCCCTGCACGTTAGCCTGCCAACATTCATGGGTGCCAGTGGAAAACAGGGCGTTCCTCCTCCAGAGACCAAGGATGTTCTTACCTGCTTGCTTACTAACTTAGTCGGCATGTTTGCCTCAATTCCCTCATCTCTGTGCCCCACAGGGGCAATGGGGTGGGTCTCCAAGATGCCCACACATCCAGCAGGCTGCTTCATGGCAGAGGAAGGCTGAGTTCAAGGAACTCGTGTCTTTTTTCTTTTTTAAAGAATTATTTGCTTATTTATTTATTTATTTGAGAGAGGGAAAGCTCCTGAGTGGGGGAGAGGCAGAGGGAGAGAGAGAATCTCAAGCAGACTCCATGCTGAGCACAGAGCCCAATGACGGGCTCCAACCCAGGATCAAGAGCCAGACGCTTAACCACCTGAGCCACCCAGCTGCCCCAAGACACTGGAGTCTTTTATAACTAACTGACCATGTCTGCCCTTTGCTCCAAGGAGAGGTGCTGTCTCCGCGTTCCAAGGCTATAGGAGCATCTTTGAAAAGATAGTCCCAGGAAGGGTTGCCAGTGCCTCTGCTGAAAAGGTGTACAGAAGCATGAGAGACCCATGCAGAACTGTTACCCCAACGGTCCCAACTGTGATCGCTCTGGTACAGAAGCGTTGGGCAACGCTGCCAATGTTACCCATTTCCAGGGTCTTAGCAAATCTTCTATCCCCATTGCCTCAGCACTGACCTCATGTTAAGAAAATTTGAAGTCGTAGATGCTAATATCTTGGGACAGTGTGCCCTACATCCTAGGAAACCCTTACTTCACACTGACCTCCTGATCTTTTGTGTCCCATTATCCAGTGTGGCATTTCCCCTGCCCCGTCTTCCCCTTCCTGTGCAGTCACAGTCACCCTGCGGCCACGGGCTGCACTGCTCCCGCTCACCTTCCTTACGGCACGGCTTCCGAACCATGGATGCACACGGGGGTCTCCCTGGAACTCTGGCGATCTGGGGAGCAGTCTGGGAATTATGGTTCTAGAATCTCCCCAAGTAACTCTTAGGGAGCCAAAGCTGAGAACCAACACTGAAGGGGAGATGGCGAGGCCAGAAGGAAGTTTCCTCCTGCTTAGTTAGGTAGTTCGTTGACTACAGACAGGAAGATGTGGTTGAGCGCTGGCTACATTTAAGTTTGGGGTAATTCCAAAACCCCTTTGACCCAAGTTACGGCTTGTTCACCAACTGATGAGAATGATCAAGTGGTCTCTCCCAGCCTTGCCTTTGTGCATCGAACACTTAATGAGGTGAAAGTGTGCAGTCAGGATCTCAGGCGTGGGAGTGTAGTCTCCGACACGGGGTGACGTGGCCGGGGGCACGTGGGCGGAAATGCTCTGGGGGACCCCTCCTTCAAGTGTGCGAAGATTCGGTCGGGCCGAACCTCAGGCTTCCCCTTATTCAGAAGTCGTGTGCAAACATGCAAAAAAATAAAGAAAATCGGCACCCCGGATGTCTTTGGCAAATACAGTTACACTCGGCTTTTGAGAACAGCCTCTCACGGCGCCTCCAGAGCCTTCTCTACAACATAAGCCCGCATCTACTCAAACCCATGGCGTCTTTAACTCAGGTGCACCACGATAAACAGCGGTAGAGCCTCTAGCATTCTGGAAAGTCCTGTGGCCATTCCAGGAGGATGAGTAGGTTTTACCCACATAAGGGATTTTTCCCAAAAAAGCCACGGAGGAGTTCGCTGGGGGAGGGCTGGCCCATGAAGGACTTCACTAGAGCAAGTATTAAGCCCGCTCTCTTCTGGAGCTGAGCAGAGACACGATTCTAAACATTTATGTTCTCCATATCTTGCACTTTCCTACAGAGCCCAATTTCACTTCCAAGTCAGACACCACAGTGGCCACAAAGTCCACTATGGTGCCGGGCTCCGGGCTGACGCCATCAAAGCCTCCTGCGGCAGGAACCATGGGGCCGATCAGTCCGGAGCCCTCCCAAGCCCCACCTCAGACAACGGCAGAGGCCTTGGAGCACACTCCCTCTGCCTCCCAGGAGACGCCAGGTTAGCACCGGCTTTGTGTGTACTAGGAGAAGCCACCCGGCCTTGGGCTGCTTCTGGAGGCGGGTGGAGACCTGGAGGGCGAGGACTGCACGGCATTATACCATCGGATCCAAAGTCCGGACGACTCAGTTAACCCTATGCCTGCTGCTCTGCTCTCTAACCTCTGTCCTCTGCCCTGGCTCAGCCCAGCTGGAAAAGAAAGTCCATCTCCCAGATGGGACAAGGCTCACTGTCTTGACCTACATGGCAGAGGCTTTGCCAATCTGAGTAGCACCTGCTTCCTCCCAATATGGGGGACAGCGGAAGGCTTCTGCAATCTGGAATCACAATCTGTGGGATGGAAAAGCTCTCGGTAATCCGCATCTTCCCGAAAGGCCTATCGGATTCTTTGTGGCATGTTTTTCTCTGCTGCGATACCACTGATATATCGTCCATGCTGTACCTTTCATCCCCGTGTCTCGATCATTCCGTCCCTGGAAGCCTGGACCTCCCACCCTCCTTCCCCCATTTTGCCCATCCCCCCACTCTCCTCCCCTCTCGGGCTGTCTCAGTTCGTTCTCTGCGTTTCTGGGTCTGTTTCTGCTTTTGTCTGTTTGTTCATCGAGTCCATATTTTAGATTCCACATCTAAGTGAAATCATGTGGCATTTGTCTTTCTCTGTTGGACTCATTTCACTTCACATAATACACTCTGTGTCCATCCATTGTTATCTCAAAGGGCAAGATTTCATTCTTTCTTGTGTCTGAGTAATACTGTGTACATACACACCACCCGTTTCATCTTTACCCGTTCTTTACCCGTTCATCTCCTGATGGACACCTGGGCTGCTTCCATGTCTTGCCTACTATAAATAATGCTGCCATAAACATAGAGGGCATGTATCTGTTCAGATTAGTGTTTTTGTTTTCTTTGGGTAAGTACCCAGCAGAATTACTGAATCTATAGCTATTTCCATTTTTAGTATTTTGAGGAGTCCCCATACCGTTTTCCTCAGCAGATGCACCATCTTGCACTCCCACCAATAGTACACGAGGTTCCCTTCTCTCCACATCCTCCCTAACAATTGTTGTTTCTTGTCTATTTGATTCTAGACATTCTCACAGGTGTACGGTAATAAATATCTCATTGTGGTTTTACATTTGCCTTTCCCTGATGTTTCGTGTGCCTGTTGGCCATCTGTGTGCCTTCTTTGGAAAAATGTCTATCTGGTCCTCTGCCCATTTTTCATTGGATTATTTGCTTGTGTGTGTGTGTTCGTGTGTGTTGAGTTGCATAAGTTCTTTACACATTTTGGATATTAACCCCTTATCAGATATGTCACTTGCAAATATCTTCTCCCATTTAGTAGGTCACCTTTTTGTTTTGTTGATGGTTTCCTTCGCTGTGCAAAGAAAGGGCATACTTGCTTCTAAAGCATGACCCAGCATCTAAATAAATTACCCTTGTTCTCTGCTAAAGGGAATTTGGTTTTGCCAGCCATGCATCTCTCAAGGCTTTAGGATGGAAGCCAAACTGCCCCAAATTCTTCCTGCTTAATGAGATATTAATGCCTTTAGGACTACAGCAATAACTGAGCTGTAATCTCTTCTCTGCAGGTACATATTCATACCACTCTCGAAGTATGACTGGTAAGTATGTTTGTTTGTTTGTTTGTTTTCTTGTCCTAGCAGTGTTTATGCCCAGAGGACCTCCATTGCAGGGGGTGGGACCGTCCTGGTTTATATGCTGCCCCAGCCTGGCCACCAGCAGCATCCCCTTCCACTCTAAAGGGTGTCTTGGTTTAGGTAGTAAGTTATAGGATCCCCCTACGTATGGGATTCTAACATGACTGCTTATCTCACTGTTGGGAGCTCTTCACTGTCAGGCTGCTGATGTGGGAACCAGAGAGCTGGCGCATCACAAAAGGGCCTCCTTCCACAAAGCCAGGCTAGACTTGCATCCCACACTTACCAGAGAGCCACGAGCACACACTGCTGTCATTGCAACGATGCTGTCATTCTGTCACAAATTGCATTCAGCTTTCACATGGTGTTAGCACGACACGCTTCAAGCAAGACTGTCAGAGCTCTCAGTTGAAAACGCTTCTTTTTATAGAAGATGTACACAACACTAAGGCTTGGAGAGAAGGTGAATGACCAGGGAGTGTGAGGAGGATTCGCAAGAATTAAAGAAAGAGAGGAAGAGAGGGGAGGAGAGAGGAAGGAAAGAGAAAGAAGGGAAAGAGAAATGCAATCATAAGAAAGAATCTAAGACTTTGGTCTGATAAGTTTTCAATAAGCAAACAAAACAAAACAAAACCAAAAAAACCACCATAACTTTGTACAGACAAAAATCATATCTATTTTCTATTTACTAGTTTTCCTACTGAGGAATAACTCATTTTGTGGCTATATTTTATCTGCATCATGTGTCATCTAGGGGCACCTGGGTGGCTCAGTCGGTTAAGCGTCCGACTGTTTCAGCTCAAGTCATGATCTCAGGGCCATGGGATGGAGCCCCACATCAGGCTTTGTGCTGAGCAGGGAGCCTGCTCAACATTCTCTCCCTCTTCCTCTGCACCACGCCCTCCCCCCCGCCCCCCGCCATGTGCATGTTCATACTCTCGCGCTCTCTCGCTCTCTCTCTAAAAAAAAAAAAAGTCAACCAAGTGGGTTCGGTCATTTCAGCAGCTAGTTGATTAGAATGGTTTTAAAATGATCAAAATGTATATGCAAAGGCAAGACATTAAAAAAAAAAGCCCCTCTGGAGAGTATTTTCATGGAGAAACTGTGGGATTTAATGACAAGGACACTGAAACTCTAATATGTTTATCACTTAAGAGGCAACCAGCGAATACAGTAGCTGACCTAATTTTTCTCCTTATGTCGCATATTACATTCAGCTTTCTACAAAGTTTTGCACTTTTTATTAATTTTTTTGAATTGGTAATATTTGCACAGGGTTTAAAAATTACAAATTACAAAAAGATATAGAGCGAAAAGCCCCATCTCAGACTGAAAATCCGCTTGCAGGCAGAAAGCAACCTCTTCTACCAGATTTCTGGGTATCCTTTCAGAGTCAAGCAGCAAACAGCTCACAGAGGATACGTGACGCTAGAGGGGTATTGTTTTCACTGTTTTGTACTTTGTTCATTTTCACCTAGTGGTATCTCTTGGAAGTCCTTCCTTATTGATACATTAAAACCACTTCATTCTTTAAAATAGCTACAAAATATCCTACCAGATGGATTTGTCACAATTTATGTAACCCCCTCTTTGGACATGTGACTCTTTACATTCTGTGTAAACATACAGACATACAGACTATGTTCCAGTGATTAATTGGAAAACCTATCATTTTGCTGTGTGCAAGTATATCTGTAGGATAAAATTCTACACCTAAAATCTGGTGGGCCACATTTTCTAAATAGATTTAAACAATGACTTTATTACGGGATATCATCTTATAATGTTTCTCCAGCTCATGACTTTGACTAGATTAAAATATCAGAAACTCTCTCCCAAATTCTGAAGTATGATGTCATAAACATTAACTCAACACCTGCAGTAGGCAAAGATAGTTCTGTGCAAGAAACTAGAAATACGAAGATTAAAAAACAAAAACAAAAATCTTTAAATCTTTCCTGTTACATAAATAAGATTTCCTTTCTCCAGGGTGCTTCAAGGTAAACAAGTTAGCACCTACCTCAAAAGACAGATCAAGTCATTGTTAGCAAAGAAATAAAAAATAAAGATGAGTTATATTTCATTAGGTGTTATTTTAAGTTTTATCAGCGAGGAAGGTGTAAACTGAAATTAAAATCATGCTAGTTTTCTACAAACACTTAGGGATAGTGTCTGCCAACTATGTCATAACAGTCCTGGCTACCTGAGACCCAAGAGTTTGCCCCTGTTGGGTACAAGCAGCAGAGACACGGGCTGGCTCCTTGGGCATCGGCAGGTGCTGCCATTTCTGCATAAATAAGCAATCAGTGGACCATGTTTGTAAGCAAATATAGATACTTTACCATAGTGATCACTCAGCAAATGTTAATTAACTTAATATTTTCATCAGCCCATTGATAACTACTGATGTAATTTCTTAAAATGAGTCACATGAATGATTATCGCAACTTCTAAAAGTTGTTTTTTTTTTAGTTCAACAGAAAATGGTATATAGTAGATGCTCAATAAATAGTAAATGAGCATGCGAATGAATACATCAATTTGAGGACTTCAACATTTTAATAAAGGTTTAGGAAGTATGATTCATCATTTCGGTGTCTTCAGTATCTACAGGCTTGCTTGCCAGCCTTTTTTTTTTTCTTGAAGATTTTATTTATTTATTTTAGAGAGCGAGAGCATGAGCAGGGGGAGGGACAGAGAGGGGAGGGAGAGGGAAAGAATCAGAAGCAGACTCCCACAGAGTGCAGAGCCCCATACAAGGCTCGAACTCATGACCCTGAGCTCATGACCTGAGCCGAAACCAAGAGTCAGATGCCTAACCAACCAAGCCACCCAGCGCCCCTGGCAGCCCCTTTAATCAATAATTTCATTCCACGATTCCAATATCCTCTCTCTGATCTTTGACTAGAGCTACTCCTGAGGACTCCTGGCTGTAAAGTAAAAGGCCGGAATGTCACCTGTGACAGTGTTTACGTTGCCATATTCATTTAAGACACTAGGAGAAGAGAGTTAATTCTTCAAACTGTGTTATACTTCTCATCTTTCATATCTGAAATAAATTTGCTGCAGTTGATATGCTCAGTCTTTAATAGGAGCTAGCTCTATGTTATATCATTCATCTGTTCATTCAGTAGAGTTCTCACTTTGGGCCAGGTTGGTTCTAAATTGCAACAAAATGAAGATTTCTCATTGAGAAGCAAATGGCACATCAAATGTACTTTAACTTATGGACTGTGAATGGTTTCGCTCAATGAGTTAGGTATTTACCGAGTACCTACTCAGAACCCAGCACTTACGATGTGCTTAGTGCTGTAAGAGACAGACAAGAAACACTGCCCAGGAACAGCAATACTCTTACTTCAAAACCGGCCTCACCAGAGGCAGGCACTCCAGCACTCAGAAACAGCGCTCCCTAGCTGACCTAGTTTACAGTACTGCTAAGAAATGGTCACCAACCCCCACCCCACTCCACCCCCGCCGCCACGTTCTCAGAGGACCTTTTCATCGTTCACACTGAACAGTGGCCACTAACTGACTCGGCCACTTTCTTTGCTTTAGACCCAACACATACGGCGGGTTGAAGTCCAGGTGGAGAGCTACTGACCTTTCTCGCCCTCCTGAGCAATAATCCATTTTTTCTCCTTCCTCCCCCCAGACTCGAATCCTCCTATGTTCTCCTCTGGCTCACCAAACCTCTCTCTCTTCCTCCTTCTCCAACCCATGCCTCCCCTGGGAAACACAAAGGGGTGGGGAACTTGCCAGTTGATTTGTTCACCTGGTATCTTAGTGATTTTGGTTTCAGTGTCTTTATTCAGTTTGCCTGGATGTAATGGAGGAGGAGGCCAAGGTATGAGCTTGCCCCTGGGTTCAAAGTGCTCCCTCACATCACTGGCTCAGGAACCCTCCTATCTCTGGAGTCGGGAGCCTGCAGGCTTGGTTCTCATTCAGGAGAAACAGGAAGAGGCATTATGAAAGCAAAACTATAGTTGACAGGAACCAGCTGTTTCCAATAAATCCCTCCATGAACAGTAAACGCATGCCAAGCTGATTAGTCAATGGAAGAGACTGTTTACCCAAGGGTACACCATTCTTAGGAAGTATTTCTGGTTTTTAGTCATAATGATCACTAATGTTAAGTCTGAAAACTCAAAAACATTCTTCACTAATTTGCCATGCTTCCTTGTTATTTCCTTTGGGACTTTTCTATTCGTTTTTATATTTTCTTAGGCACAGGTAGTTTCATCTTGACAACTCTACTCTTTCCTCTGGTGACAGCACCACTTCAAAAATATCAGAGAAAAAGCAAACTTTCTAAAAGAGAAAATAAAGATTATCTACAAGCCCACCATTACTTAATACATTGGTATCTATTCTTCAAGGCTGCCCTGTGCTACAGGCACACGCATGGCTTACTGGAGATTATTTTTTGGTTCATGTTTCTCTCAGCCAGTTTTTTTTTTTTTTTCTTCACTGAAGATATTGGAGACATCTGTCTGTGTTAATAAATATATTCATTTTATAATTTTAAAAAGTTGGATGATAGTCCAATGTATGGGCAGACTACAGTTTAATTAATTTTCTATTAATAAGAGATTGAGATTAACATTTTAAGAATTGTTTGAAACAATACTTCCGTGAAAACGCCTGGTGTATTTGCCCATTTCCTTGGAATCCATCCCTAGAAGTGGGACTAGAGAGTCAATGGGTGCGGTCTTCTTGGAAGCTGTCGGTTTATGTTGTCAACTGCCCTTGAGAAAAACTATACCACAGTCAGACCCCAGCCCCCAGATGTTCAGGGTCGTCATCTCTCTCGCGTAGAGCAGGTGGCTGTTTGTCTGCAAGGAGATTTCACAATAGGGAGGCAAATTGGCCAACTCTGCCTGGAGCTCATTAGGATGCAAATGTTTTCGAAATAGGTTCACCATGCCTGTAGGCTAGCCCTCTGGCTTCCACACAAGATCCCATGCTAACTGTCCTGTCTAATCTCAAATGCCCTGCAGCTGCTGGCCTCCTACATGCAAGTACTCCCACCCCTCCAGGCGGTTCCTTTCTTCCTTTTTTTTTTTTTTTTTAAGATTTTATTTATTTGACAGAAAGAGAGAGAGAGAGAGAGATCACAAATAGGCAGAGAGAGGGGGAAGCGGCTCCCTGCTGAGCAGAGAGCCCGATGAGGGGCTCGATCCCAGGACCCTGAGACCATGACCTGAGCTGAAGGCAGAGGCTTAACCCACTGAGCCGCCCAGGCACCCCCAGGCTGTTCCTTTCAACTGAATCCAAACAGAATCTTTCCCCTCTCCTAAGCCACACTGCCTTACGCTCCTCTTATCCCTAACACCTTTTACTTCCTCTCTCTTCTTACCACTCCTCCTCCACCATAAATAGTGGCCAGTAAAAAACTAATAATGATGGGGATGCCTGGGTGGCTCAGTCAGTTAGGCGTCCTACCCTTGATCTCAGCTAAGGTCTTGATCTCAGAGTCATGAGTTCAAGCCCTGCATTGGGCTCCATGCTGGGCATGAAGCCTACTTAAAAAAAACAAAACAAAACAAAAAAAATGAAATTGGAAGAAACATGGCACCAAATGCTATTGTTTCTCAATCGAGACTCTGTGAAGTTGAAGGAAAGGGGGAGGCAGACCCACGGACAATTATTTTCTGCCTTTGGATTTAGCAGCGGACCTGGTTTCCCATCCACACACTCCCAACCCCAGCCTGTGAACTCCGAGACCTTTACTTTCCCCTCTTGTCCCGTCCCCGTGTCACCCTGGCCAGGAAGGATGGATTAGGAGGGTGGGATGTGGTATGACCTGAAAGGGGATGGTTTGAACTGGCGGTATCGGTGGGAGAAGAATGAGCTTTCTGCCCAGAAGTAGTAAGTGGGACTGTGTGGACCTCCAGAAATGTTAATAACAGTCAGCTGGCTGGGAGGGCCTGTGGATCGCTCTGCAAGACCGTCAGCTGTGAAGAGTTTTCAGATTCTTCGACATTCTCACTCCTGCTCCTGGGACTCTCCACCCGCGTGACAGCTCAGCTCTGTTCTCTTGCAGAGGTGATCGGGAGCACACTCGCCGTGGTCTGTGCAGTGGTGGTGGTAATTGTGGTCTGTTACCGAAAACTGAGGTGAGTAGTGCGAGAATCACACTGGATGGGAGTCTTCCTTCCTTCCCAGAAAAGAGCATCATCATGATTCCGCTGTCCCACCGAAGCAAGACCCTCTTTCCTGGCTTCTGAGGCTGGCTGTCAGGCTCGCCCTCTCCTATACTGACCAAAGGCAGAGCCGGCCCTGGGAGGCCCTCCAAGGCCACCCCCTGGAGACAGGGCAGCCAGAGCCTAACTGGTGACAAGGGGCTGCTCTACCTCAAGGAAAGAAAAGAATGAACCAAATTTTCTTTCCTTTTCAGAAGGAAAGAACCTACCCAATAACCAATGTGATGGATATGCAATTGCTACAGTACAACCATGAATATATTTTCTTGAACGTACTCATTAAAGATAGGGATACTTTCTTATTTATGCACTCATTCATGTCGGCCTGACTTTTGTATTTCTAATCGTTGAAATTCTTTCTTCACCACTGGTGATGAGAAGACCGTGTCCGCCACTTGCTAAAATTTCAGTTTTTGTTATTTTTCTAATCTTGAGGCATTTTTATCATTTTCATTAAAGCCTTAAATGACATATTAGCCTTAATTTCATGCTTGTACCAATTAGAAACCAGTAACCAGCATTCTGTGTCCATATGGCTGTTCCGGATCCGTTCTCAGCATTGTACAATGAACAGCAGAAATCCAATTTGTTGAAACAAAACTTTTAGTTGCTAGTTATAAAGAAGTTTTTTTCTAAACATACCAGTATAAGGATGATACCCTTCTTCAAGCCTCACTTCGGCAAAACGAATGTTCCATGAAATGCCACTGTGAAGCGGAATGAAAAAGTCATCTAAAAATTCACATCCACCTTTGAAAGCTGTTAATACCATCCCAAATGAAAGACATGCCATAAACCTCATAGATCATTTAGAAACAAACACACTAAGGTTGATGTGTGACTTGGAAATCTGTGAAAACAGTCCCCCAAATGCTAAAATGTTGGCAAAATTAAAAAATGGCTTTTATAAGGACTTTCAAAGTGTCATTTTAACTAAATTTCCACATGAGATGTTGTATTTGGAGTTACGTTCTTAAGAGATTATAGTGACCATATTCATTGATTTTAAAAAAACGCACACCATCTTTCTTAAGCATGAGATGTTAAAAGTAGAATCTTACAAGAATTTGTAAATTTGGTATGTTTGGCCAATAAATATGCTGATAAGATGAAAATAACAATATTCACTGACTATAGTAAAGAAATATTGATAAATATACCTTTAAGAATTCGTAAACCTGAAAAGCAGTACTTGGTCATTTGGTGAATCGATTCTTTGCTGTAAACTTCTTTTTTACAGATGGGTTATTAGGTAGGTTGGTCATTCAACAGATTGGCTTTCAGCGAATCATTTTCAGTACACTGGCCTAGAGTCCCGACTATAGTTCAGCTCTCCCTCCATGGAGCTCAACGAGTTTACGTACTTGGTAACTGACGGGGCTGACACCAAGGAGCCTATTAGTTTCAGGTGTAAATCCCACTGATTCAGCATTTTCATGCATCACGAAATGATCCCCATGAGAAGGCTAATTACTGCCAGATGCCACACAAAGTTATTACACCATGATCGACTATATTCCCTGTGCCGTACATGATAGCTTCATGGCTTACTTATTTTGCAACCAGAAGTTTGTGCCTCTGAATCCCCTCCCCCATTTCATCTGCCCCCCCAGCCCCGCCCCTCTAGCAATCACCAGTTTGTTCTCTGTATGGCTTGTTTTGTTTGTTCATTTTTCTTTTTTTAGTTCCACAAATGAGTGAGAGCATATGCTATTTGTCTTTCTCTGTCTGACTTATTTAACTTGGGACTCTACCCTCTAGGTCAATTCATGTTGTTGCAAGTGGCAAGATCTCATTATTTTTTATGGCCGAGTAATATTCTATCTTGTATATATACTTCTTTTTTTTAATCCATTTCTCTATCGATGGACACTTAGTTTGCTTCCACATCTCGGCTGGGGCAAATAACTCTGCAGTGAACATGGGGGAGCAGCTCTCTCTTCCAATTGGTGGTTTTGTTTTCTTGGGCTTCAAAGTATTTACTTTGAAATGTCTTAAAGAGTTGTCTGTCCTCAAGAGGTAGATGACAAAACCCAAGGAAGAAACTGCTGACCCAGATACTTGGGGCCTAAAAGCACGAGTCCTTCAGTGACAGGGAGACACATGGGATTAAGATGTTCTGCCTTCACCACGCCTTCACCACCTTGGTTGCTCAGGGACTGGGTAATAGACTCCGGTTTCTTTAAACACATACCAAGTACCAAGAACTGTTTTAAAAGCTTTATGACCATTACGTCATTTTTAGCAAGATGATCGTGTCTGGCTTTGCCGGGCTCCCGGTTACTCTCTCCTTTTTGTTCCTACCATTTGAACTACTGCTTTTTAGCAGAGGACTGGGAAAGAGGGGGTAGGCTGCTCCGACAGCACGGGGAATCTTTGACGGATGAGTGGCTTAAAATACTAAAGTAAGATTTCAATGCCAGCCCTGAATGGAGGTGAGCCAGGCTTTCCCCATCTGAGTGTTCAACAGGAACCGTCTGTTCACTCGTGTTGAGGGCGACCCTCTCTTTTCAAAACCTGTGAATGATCTGCTTTACAGGCACACTGTGCAGACACCCAGTGTTGAAATGGAAAGCATGGAAGAGATGCCAATGACTAGGGGAACCAATGGCAGAGAGGAGGACGCAGAAAACTACCCACACGACCTAGGACACTCCAGGGAGAGACTGAGGGCAGCAGAGGCTGAAGCGAAGGCACCCACCCTGCCTTAGCCAAAGAGGACCTGGAAACAACTCAAGATCTTGGGTGCCAGCAGAGAGCCCGTCGGGATGACAAGGCAGACGTCTTGGCATCATTGTATCGATGGCGCCCAGCCAGGACACCTCCTAGGCTGTCCAGTCTCAGGATGGATGCTCGGGACCCACCCAGCCCAGCCTCGGGTGCAGGGCTGACGTCCCCTGATCCCAGCAGCTGAAGCTCTCCCGGCAGTGGCTGAAAGCCTCGGCTTTCCCTTTCTTTCATGTGACATTTATGCAGGATAGCTGAGCAGCCTGACCATTCTGCCCCTCATCCTGACTTGATGTTTACAGAGAAAAGAAAAACGCCTGAGATGCTAAGACAGTTAGGTCCCTCCTACTGGCTTAAGAGAGGTCTACAAGGATGACAAGAGCATTGGCAGCTCCAAAACGCTATCCCCCTATTGAGGTGTGAGCATGAACTGGAAGGAAGCAGAGAGGTATCGTGCTGTGTGAATCCACTCGATTTAAGGATCCAGAAGGAAGGAAATGGAACGCGGGGACATTTCCCATGTATATGCATTTCTATTTATACTCCCTATCCATTATATCTACATATTTTACATAACTGTTATTTTGAAACTCTGCCTTGTATAAACAAAATATCTATTTTCAATACAAAAAAAAATTCATTGAAAGAATCACTGAGAAGAAATGTGTGACAAATAAAAGAGAAGAAAGAGTGGGAATGCAGAGTCCCAAAATGGCTGAGTTTGGCTTTTTTCTAAAAGGAGAAAAATAATTTAAAAAATAAAATAATAAAATAAAAATCTTGCCTAAAACTGGATCCGATCACAGTTTTGGAGAATCTCTCATAAGATTTCCACGTGAGAAGCAACAAGTGGCAGGGCGAGGGGGTGCCTCGCACACACACCGTCTCTTTCCCTGCACTGTTCTTTCTTTTTTTAAATAACATTTATTTACAAAATCGGGGCCTCATCCCACCTCCTCATTTTATAGATGAGGAAGCTGAGGTCTATGGAGGTTGACTTGCCCAGGGTCACACGGCTCAGTTAATGCGGGGCTGGGCAATATTTAGGAAGGGCGATGGGGCGGGAGAGGAGCAGCCCCAGCCAGAACCCAGCCCTGAGCTGCCTCGCGCACAGCCGGGGGCGGGGGATGGTCAGGGCCCCTCACAGGCCTTTGGAAAGTGGGACCCCGGCTCGGCGACCATCCACGTGCCACCAGCAGGCTCAGCTTGCCAAGGGCCATTCCCTACTAACTTCTTCACATCATCAATCTCTACGGTTTCATCAAAATCGGAGGAAAGGTACGAATTTCCCGCGGCTGGTGTTGGGCGTTTAGAACGACGCCCACTTTCCCTGCCTGCAAATTCTTGCCCAACGAGAGGAAACTCATTGCTGGCACATGAGCGGAGCCGCTGTATTTGTGGGTTTAATCACTCCATTAACCTGAACCTGCCTGATGAGCTAAATGTTTTGCTTCTCTCTTCAGCTGTTTGCTCCTACGTTCTGGAGTTTACCATTAACTGGATCCATTTTGTTCTTTATAGGTTTTAAAAGTTTGACCTTTGTGATTTCCAAAACTAATTTCACAGAAGACACAACTCGGCACACACACACACACACACACACAAATGCGTCCAGTAAAACCAGAATTTTGCAAGGCTTCTCCTGGGTGTCAAAGTGTTAAGTCATAGGGGTACTTCACGGACTCGAGCTTCTAGTTGACCATCATCTTTGGAAAACTAATATGACGACCTCGGGGGGCCCACTTCGGGGCTGCCTTGACGATTCCAAGCACTACCTCGCATTCTGTACCCATTTTACCTGAATATAGTACTTGCCGATGCCAGAGGGTCTTGTTGGGGGGACACAGGGCCCGGAAGTGAGGAGGAGGGCGCAGAGAGCAGGGACGAGCCACAGGGGAAGGCGGGTGTGCGTTCCACGGGCAAGTGAGCGGCAGGCAGGGGTGGGAGGCACACGCTCCGGCTGCACCCCGGCCCCTTCCTCGGTCCTCCCGTCTCCCCACTCTCAGGAGGCTGCGCGCCAGAGTTTTTCCCGAATCACCGCCTTCCCCTCTCCTCCCTGAAAGCCTCTGATTCTTCAGCCCAGGCAGGGTCCTGCCGACTGAGCCAGAGCGGCGCTCCTTGCTCTAGTTGTCTGCTCCTGCAGACCCCACCACGGACACAGCAGCTCGAAACTCCACTGTTTAGGGTCTCGGCGGGCCAGCCGGGCTCAGCCGGGCGGCTGTGTCTTACCTGGAAGCAAACAGGCGCTGCATCCAGCGCGGCTGGGCTGAGCCGAAGGTCTGAGAAGGCTTCCCGGGCTCTTCCCATGGCTCAGCAGCCTCTGAGCGAGCCTGGGCTTCCCGGGGCCCTTGAAGGCTCGGGGAGGGACCGCCACACGTCACTTCTGTTGCATTTTATTGGTCAACGCAAGTCCCCAGGCAGCCAGATACGAGGAGAGGGGGAACAACAAAAGGCATCAATGGAAACTATCTCTGGAGACTCTCTACCACAGTACTTTCTGGGGCCATCAGAGAAACGCAATCTGTGCTCCGATCTTTGGCCCTCGGTAAATGCCAATAAAGTCCCGACAGCTGAATGAGCAAAATGATCCCGGGGTGCCTGCGGGGGCGACTGGGTCCATCTTTTTATTCTTTTAGTGGATAAGGATTTGAAAGTTCTTCAGCGGATACACCTTCAGCCCGCATCTGTCAGCTGGCGGAGAGCTACATAATTCACACTGTTTTCTCCACTTCCGTTTCCCGTCATCCACAACATCTGCCACAAAGAAAACTGATTGCTCTTTGTCTTTTTGGTCTGCTTTTTTCCTTGCCTCATAAGTAACACTTAATTATCATCTTCTTTTTCAATCTTTCGGACATTAGGAAAGGAGCAGACACCAAAGAGACGCATTTAAGGGTCTCTCCGTGTTTCTAACCATCCAATCCATTTTCTTCCTCAAGGAAGGACCTTTTACTATTAGCCTCAGAATGTCGAGAATATAAAAGAGAATCCTGAGTTTGTTTGTTTTCCCACAAACCTATGCTCCTTGAAGACCAGGCCAGATTCAAACAGTACAGGAATTCAATGTGCAGCTATTTTCCTAGAATTTATAAAGTTACAACACTACCTTTATATGGAATTCTGGCTCCTTTCTCCCCTACGAGCCTGTCTGGAAATCCAGCCATTCCACTCTCTCGTTATTTTACCGGACCCATCAGATACCCTCACCCAGTTAGAACTCAGAAGCTATGCTGTGGCTCTGGAATGAATGAACACAACGGAACTGATACGGCGGCACCTAGCAATGCTTCAAAACCATCAGAAGGTTGTCATACTGTTTCTTGGCTCTGGTTTGTCTCCGTCATCCAAACCGAATCCTCCAACTCCCCATGATTCTGTGAGCTCCCAACATTCTTTCAGAACATTTTCTTTTTCCAGTTTCCACCCAGTTTCCATTACTTGTCACTGAAAAGTTCCCAACTGGCAGGGAATTTGGAGCTAGGAGAGCATATTGCAAATGAGAGAAGTAGGGAAATGGGGACTAGCTGTGATAGTCTGAGGGAGAGGGTAGGAAGCAGTGACAGTCCAGCTAATACTCTGAGATGGGAACCCAGCAGCCCATGGCAGGCTGGGAATTAGTTCCCCGAAAGTTACCTGGAACGGCACGCCCACTGTGAAGGCCCAGCTCTGGGAGACAGCACTGCGCCATCCTAAAATATCACGGGTAAGGAAAGTCCAGGCTGTAGATGGGTGGCTGCTATTAACGGCAGTGAACAATTTAGAAAAGAGAGTAACAAGCTCAAATCCTGAAGGTCTCAATTCAAGCCACAGATGGAATCCTAGAGACTTCTAAGCCCAAGGCTGAAGCTCATCCTTTGGAGAGCAGAGCCAAGAGGGCTGCAAACCCAGACTGAGAGTCTGAGTCCTCCCGCTGTTGAGTCACATTACCGAGTTCACAGCCTGCCAGATTTCGTAGCTGACACTGATTGAGCAATATTGGAATGAAGATCCAGGGGAAAATGTGCAGGGCTCACAAGGATCCCCTCTCCCACATTTACCCCACCTTGTCCTCAGAATCAGCCCCCAGTTTTGTCTGGTAACGCAGCTCCTCACTTCGAGGTAATACTATTTCCTGGGTTCAGGAGTAATCTCGCAAGAGGAAGCCTGCTCTCCTAGTGACCCACCTCCGGACTCGGGGTCCGCAAGGGAAGAAAGAGGCTCAGCTCCCACAGAGGCCGTCCAGAGCCTCGCTCCGTGCTGCCTCCCTCACTGCACTTGCCTTTGCCTCCCAGGGACTGTCCTGTTGTCCTCCGCGGGCCAGGCACATTGCTCCTGATCAACTCATGGGTCATTCCTGTGCCATCCTCTCCACACCCAGTCTACTCTCCAAGAGGCAGCTTGATTTCTACCTTCTCCAGGCGGCCTTCAGTAACTATTCCAAAGTACAAAATCCTCTGGCTCTGAGCTCCCAGAACATTCGCTGTGTGCCCTGGAACTGTGGCATTTGCTAACGACTACCTTTGTGCAGTGGAAGGAGCGCAGGACTTAGAAGACCTGGGAAAGCTTAGAAGCTTTCCTTTTGGCCTCGTCAGCTTGGAAGAATCCCTGAAGTCACACACCCTGGCATTCCATCTTTAAAGAGGAAGTGACAGATGGATGGTCCCTCCCACCGAGGTGAGGAACAAGAGGGATACTTGAAAGTGCTCCGTGACTGGCATGTGTCTCTCCTCTCTCTCTAGACACTGGAGATGCTGAAACGGAAGACCTGGGACTTATCCTTGAGGTGCTTACAGCCCGGCCAAAAAAAGAACCTTTCAAAACAAAGGGCTCTTATGACCAGTCTAGTCAATACAAATGCCACCGGGGTCATGAACAAAGGAATGTCGCAGAAGTCCGGGAAAGGAGGGAAGAAACCACTAAACGGCCTAGATATGTGGGGAGTCCTTTCTGATGTGGTGGGACTTACAAAGAAGCATGGCTGAGATCGAAGCAAACAGAAACAGGCAGGGAGGGTTCTCCAAGGGACAACGACAGAGGCAAGGACACAGACAGGAGAGTAAGGCAGATGGCAGGCTGCGAGCTGGGGCCCCAGCATGACTGCTTGGTAACTTCATGTCAAACAGACCAAAATGAGCGAGACTTCAAGAGCAAAGGTCTCACAGGGACTGGACCTAGGGTCTTCTGCCGCATCCCTGGCTCCAACCAACAGCCCGGTAGATGCCATCACCACGAACCGAGATGGTCACCTTCCCAGGGCTCTTTCTTCAGTCCTTGGGCAGAGGACCAAAAGCACAAAGTACAAAAGAAGTGTGTCATCTTCAAAATCCCCTTTGAGAGAAAGGGGATCTAGAAGGCACGCAAGTGGCTCTGCACCCAGTGGTCCGGGGCCGCCTGGCTGTACGTGGCTGTCCATGTTGCCAGCGTGTTCCGAGAAGCCTTCGCTCCCAGAAGCACTTGGGTGCTATCCAGGGTGGGGAGCTGAGAAGGATCTCTAGTTGCTGCCCTGAGTCCCGACTAATTAGAGCTGCCTCGCTCTTGAATTAGGAGTCATGTGTGAAGAATGTCATGGCTAAGAACATCTGAAA